CATTAAAAGCCACCTGGGAAAAAACAGTATTATAAAGCTGCCTCACATTTGTGATTTCAAAAATAAAATTCCCACCAGCTGGGAAGTTAAAATAAAAGACAAAAGAGGTGAGGGTAGACAAGAACTAAAAATATTTTCCTTCTTCGTTTTGAATCTGTGAGCATCACATGTAACCAATAATTTTCTCTTAGGTCAAACAGTCCCAGGTCCACAAATTGCTGAGCAGCACGGCATCACCCTTACAAAGAGCAAGCTTTCCTATTCACATTTAGTGAATGTCATCATCAGATTCTAGTGAGTTTAAATAAAACTGTATCCAGAAATTAAAATTCTTTGAGTTTATTCCTCACAAACATTGCAAGCATGAGTAGCCCATCACTTTGTGTCTTCCATATTGAAGTGTTTTATGGAGAATGAAGGTAAAATAGGAATGTCCTGTGGCAGGAGCACTTATGGCCAGCCCAGGCTCCTCTCGTGCAGGGGCGGGTACCTGAGGAACCACTTTGCAGGGCAGCCGTGAAGCCCAGGCGCTGTCCCACCTCCACGGCCATTCCAGCGGGCTCGGGCCACGCCAAGGGGGTGGGTGCCATGTTGGGGTGCCGCTGCCCGCGGGCCGGGAGCCGGGAGCCGCTCCGTGCTGCCAGCGCTAGAGGGCACTCCGGGATCGGGGAGCGCCGCAGTCCCCGGGGATGGATGGGCTGGCCGCCCATCGCCTGTTCCCACCGGGACAGCCCTGCCGTGCTGGAAGCAATCCCCCTCTGCTCAGAATAAAAGGGACGGGGCGGGGTATTATGGTGCCAGTGGGGAGCTGAGCAGGTGATACTGCAGCATTGCAGCAGAGAGAAACAGTAGTCACCTCAGGGGTGAAGTACAGAAGCAATGTGGCTCTTCCCAAAGGAATGGTCAGTGTAGCACCTCTCTCTCTCTGTGTGCTGTTCTTTCCTCCTGGGGTAGTAAGTATTGCTTTGGCTTTGTCTTCAAAACTCTGGTCTTAAAGAAGCTCAGATTATGACTACTTACCCGTCTTGCAGAAAATGCCATGCCTTTGTGAAAGAACGTCTCCACCTCCTCTGCAGGAAGGCAGGGAGAAAGCACATTTCCAGAGGTCTGCTTTTCCCAGATGCTGATGAGAAAGCCGTTTAAGAAGTGTACAGCTACTGGCTAAAATATGAAGGAGGAGAGAGGTCTACTCGACCAGACAGTCACTGTCCAGAAGGAGTAAAACCCTCACTGAGGTTCAAAAGACAGCCCACGGCTAGAACATGAGAGGAGCCCGTTCCTAGGAAGCTGCACTGTTCCTAGTAAGCTCCCCTTTTTGTGATGGGAGACTTAAACTGACCTTAAACCATCTCCAGCTGTGCTTTAGGAAGTTTAGCCTTAGTCTCAATGATGTTAATTCTAAAATATTCCCTTCATGACTAATTCATATTTTTCCTTGATATTTAATCTAATTTGCTGCAGGCTAATCCCTTTAGTTTTTGGCCTGTTGACAAACGAAAATAACTAGTCCCTGTACGCCTGCTCCTTCTCTCTGTGAATCTGTGGACACTTATTATCTCTTTCAGGTATTTTTTGTTTCTTCAACAACTCTTAGAGCATTAAAACATCTGCTACTCTTCTCCTTTCTAGTTAAAAGAGAAGATTCCAGGTGTGCAGAGATGACTGAAGGAGACACTATCAGCAAGTTTTTGGTAAATGCTGCATTCCTCATACATCTATCTGGATGAAATTCTTTTGTGTCTAAGTGCCTTTAATTACCACCCATAGGCTGTTACTGAACTACTTCTCCTTGGAGTGTTTTCCTCCTTGCTCTTCTGGGTAATATATCAAGGTTACTTCTTCACTGCTTCTGTTGGTTTTAGTTGAGCAGCTATTACATACTTCATTAATATTTTAGGTAACACATAATGTAAACCTAATGCTTAATATGACCCTTTCAAATGGCAGTAGGTTTGGTTTTGATCCTGGACTATAATATTCCACAGATCCGCTACAGAGAGCTTCTCAGTGATTGATATATGGAAATTTGCTCAACAAAAACTGGCATGCTATAGCCACCAAGTTTCTGTTGCCTAAGAAGACAATAACTCTTTGGCATCCTAAAGCAAGGTTTGTATTCTTTTCTTTTGTTTAGAAAATACTCTGAAAATTCAGACTGCAAAAAAGATGGCTTAGTGGTTTCTGCAGCAAGTGGGATGACAGTCCAAATTCCAGCCCAAGTTTTCACAGGCAGCCTTGGGGAGCTATTTTACCCAACCTGCATCTCTCAATTTCACTTCTATAAACTGAAGACAATGTTCCTTTCCCACCTGGGAAATGCACTGATACTAGTGAGATATTTGGATGCTATAAAAGAAGACCTAGGCAAAGCTTGTGCACAGTCAAATTATAAAAGTCCTAAAAGATAAACAAAATAAATCAGACTTAATATTCTTTGGCTTTTGTTTACCTACCTTCAACACTAGAATTTCCCTGGACTCACTGCTATTCCCTTGTGTTGTCTTCATAAATGAAGCCTTGAGCTGGCCAGATCACTTAAACTCAGGCAAAGCTTTTTCCATGAGCTGCCTCATTGTGGCAGCTGGTTTAGGCACCCCAGCCACAGCAGGGGCTGGAAAAACTGAAGAGTTCCTTGGGATGTGAATTTCTTTTTGGTTTGGAGGAACATGTACTAAGCAACATATAATCAAATGCAAAAAAACTTTTAACCTGTTTTGGCTACACTTTAAAGAAGAAATCATTTGGAGACTAAAATGGAGAATGAGAAACTTCATCTCAACAGGCTGATTTTTGTAATAAAAAACATTCTGCCTCGCAGGAGGAGAAGAGGAGAGGCGTTTCCACCTGCTGCACATGGTGGCTGCCTGTGTCCTCTAAGGCAATGATCCATCCCACAGGCCAAATTCTTCCAACCTTGGTCTTGCAGGCACCCCCTGCACGAAAGTACCCAGTGCCTCATATCTTCTTTAAATGAAAAATTGTTAATTTAAGTATGCTACAGGGAAATGCACAAAGCCATCAGAGAAAAAGGAAATCATACAAGCTGAGCTTAGTCTCTAAGCCCTTTTTGCACAGAATTACTTAAACACATGACTCCAAGGTTTTTCAGATAACTGTGAAGCATTCAAGCAATATAAGGCAAGTTCAGAAAGTAATGGACATGCTGGTCATGCCCTGCACAGTCCCAGTGAGTGTACACAGGGAATGGGAGGGTGTTCCTGTGAATATGTGTACACTGTGAATGTACAGGTCTGCCAGGTAGAATATTGCAAAATTGTGCTCATGTATGCCAAAGGGCTGTGCCACAGGGCTGACAACTCCAGGTAAAATAAGCAGTTCCTCAGAGTCTTCCCAATTTTTTCATTGGAGAAGAAATAATATTCAGGAGAAAATGTGCATATATCAACCCCAGTTATCAAATATTTTATTTTGATTTCTTCAACCCCCTGGGCAGCAACCATCTCTAAGTTACTATACTGAACTGGATGGAATTACTCACGTATTGACATGTAAATAGGTCTCTGCAGAATTCTGAGCCTGCTTTATGATTAAACTTTACTGCCAATGGCAATAAAGATGTAATTAGCATTATTGTAATAATGGCATCATCTTTTGTCTTGTTCTTTCCCAGTCAGGAATTAGAAAAAGGAAATAAAATGGTGTCAGTCTGCATGAGAAGAGTGCTGGACCTGCAGAGTTATACAGAGCACTGCAAGCATCTTGTTAGTGCAAACAAGAGCAACTCACCATAAAATTAAGGGAACAAACACTATCCACTCAACAGCATAGAACACAATGTTGTTCTTTATTATATTATTTAAAAGGGGCAGATTTACTCGGTCATAAATTAATAATTCAGAAGGTATAAGAAGGCACAGCCAATTAGCTGCAGTAATTTGCATTTTTATGCTCCTTCATTAGTTTCCTAAGGTTCTTCTCTCCTGTTATAGCAATGCAAATGCCATCTTCCAAAAGGTGAATAGCCTACCTTGTTTTTGTTTGCATGGTAATGAAGCCTTTTCAATTATTGAAAGACCAAACAATTTAATAATTTTTAAGACAATTTTTTGTTGCTATAATATCTCTTATTTGAGAGGGTTTTTTTCAAGGAACATGCTTTTTAAATGTAATTTATTTTAACCTGAAGCAAGGAGTTTATCAGGTGGCTGATGTTCCGAGGTTCCTAAAATCATGCCTAACTTTAATCACTTAAGTAAATCTCTCAAAGCAAGGTATTAAAATCCTTTCTTAATTTAGAGGCTGACAAATAACTCAGGGTATGGTGTCTTTGTTTGCAGCATAGAGTCTCTTTATCCTCTATGCAGGAATGAATTGAGAAGGGTTTAATATATGAATTTGACTGTTAGGTGAACTTCCCTTTCTTATGCCCATGCCCCAAATATCTGCTGGCACAAGTACCTTCAAAAGCTTCCTGCAGCTTGCCCCAGGGATTTCCCTTTTGGTCATTACTATCTATGGGCACAGTCTTGCTAAAGTTGACGTCCTTAGCTTCTGAGAAATACTCCTGAGGCCAGCAAGGTTAAAGTCTTCCTGCAGTCATAACTGAAGTGCTGGTCACCAGAGTGCTGCAGGGCAGCTGTGCTCACTTGGTCTCTGCCTTCCCATGCAGGGCACCAGCAAATCCCACTGGCTTCCCAGAGAGCTACTCCTAACCTGCAGCTGGCCTGACACGTACTTATTTTTCCATTTTTACTCTGGTATTTTCCTTTCCAAATGCTTTCCATGTGAGGCCATTTCATTTTCTTTTTATAATTATTTTATTTTTAATACAGCCCCTCATTCCAGATGTAGATAGTACATACACTCACTCAAAGACACGTAAAAGGGAAGTAATGCTGAGGCTGCACCTTTATAGAAATGTATCTGAGGCAGCAGGTAACCCAGGAGAACTGTACAGATATTTCAGAGGGCCAGTGGGTACTAATCTCAAAAAAAAAAAAAAAAAAAAAAGAGGTGGGGATGGAATTAAAACCCGGAGAATGAAACAAAGATGTGGTATGTTTTCTGAGGGAACCTCTGAAGGGACTTGTGTGTTCAGGTTACCATGACTGCGATCAGTTGACTGAAGAAGACAGGACACCTGCCCTTCTCCATTTACATCAGCAGAATTCTTGTCTTTGGGATGTTGGTCTTTCTACGGGCAACCTGCAGCAGTTCTTTCTCCCAAGGAACATGGCACCACTCCCCAGCCCACTGAAATCCACTCCATCCTGTTCTCTAGTCGCTTCAGCCTCTCTTTCCTTTAGCAGAGGTGTTGTTCACAAACTGTACAGATCATCTTGGAAATTTTTGCCAGCAAGGAACATACAGGAAGGCACAGTTTTTGTCATTTCACTGATAGTGCAAACAGCATGCCTGCAACACAGACCAAATGACTGATCATACAAGAAGCAGGGTGCATTGGTGTGTTTTAACAGGCTTTCTTCCTTTTTTTGTTAACTTCTTGCTGAAGGCCACATGTGAAGGCTTGGCTCTGAATAACTTCAAGCAGGAAGGGCAGGGTGGCAGAGGCTGTATCAGCTCCAATACTCAAAGGCCAGTGACATTATGCCAGTGGGTATAATGAGGTGAAACTGGTGCCAGCAGGTGCAATGAGAAAGAAGAAACAAAATGGCTTGAGATAATATGTAATTTAAAGTAGAACTGGCCAAAAATAAATTAATCAAAACTTCGCAAACTATATAAATAAAGAAATCTGAAAGTATAGAGAAGATTTTCTAACATCATAGCAGTGGTAGCAGTCTCTATCTATGCCCTTACTCCAACCCCTCCGTTACCTCCTCTCCTTGTCCCCAAGCCCAGCCTTAGCTCATGTCCTGCATGTTCTGCAAGGGCACAGGGGTGGCCCACGGGCAGGCTGGGGCTGTGGGCTGTATTCCACAGCAGGACAGGGCCTCCTGACTTGCAGAATTAACCTCTAGAGCTGCAGTGCTTTGTGATTTCCTCTTCCTATGTGGACAGAAATGGGGGTCTCTGAACTATTTGGAGACAAAATATCAGATTTTGTGATCTAGGTGTATTTCTGTTCTTTATGTCAATCAGAAAAATCAGTCATTTATTACTTAGTGGAGAACTTCAAGATTTCATGTCTTATATGTCTGCTATTTAGCTCATAAATTAAAATTATTTGCAAAGTACATTTTCTAAAAGACATCAATAATCACTTATCGTAGATCATATCAAGAGAACAACATGATCATTTCATTTTTTTTTCTGAAATAAATTAATATCAGAAGGGTTCTGTTGATTATTTAATGTGACTTCTTATATCACATATTTTCAGGACTCCCCTAAATAAATTTCTGTATCCAGACCAATAGCGCAGCTAAGCCAGAATAGAAATTTATCATGGTTTCCAATTTTCTCTACAGACAAAATCCACTGCAGGCTACAGTAAGTTTTTCCAGTGGTCAGTTCCCTTCTCTGAGGTAAATTACTTCAAGGCTTATTTTTTCTAATTCCAGGCAATGGATTTGCTAGTCTTTTCCAGAGAAATTGGAGATGCCTTTGTACCATTTTTCTATTCTTTAGAAAGTCAAGACTTTGAACAGTAGTCTCTCATTTTCAGGATGTTTTCCAGTCCTTTAAGCTCAACCAGAGTTGCCATCAAACCCTTCTTTCTAAAGAAAACCAAATAAATAATAATGATTAAAAAAAGAACTTAGAAAGAAGAGCAAAATCCTTTTCCACAGGGCAGGAGGAGCAGTGATGCAGCACGGTGGCAGGCTGCTGGCCCCAGCTGTGGCACTTGGGAGCAGCTGTGCTGTGCCTCCCTTTCTCCTCCAGCAGAAGCACAAAGCCCCAGACTTCCCTTGCCAAGAGGCTACAGTCTGTGTAGCACTTTCCCTTTTCCCTCGCAGTAAATCTTCACGTGAATAATGCAAGCTCTCTGCTTTTATTCATATTCTCCTCATTATAGTCCAATGATCATTTTAGCACTTTGGCCGTGGCGCGCTGCAGGAGTTCCACATGTATCTGATTATCCATTATAAAATCAAATCCCTTTCAGTCCCTATTTCCCAGCATGGAGTCTTTTCCATCCTACAAGCATGGCTCACACTGTTCCTCACTGCACAGGCTTCAAAAAAAATAATTTGTTCCATTTTTTAAAGAAAGTCAGATTGCTCTGTCATTCACCAGCCTTATTTATCATTTAATCCTCCACTAGTTTTAGTGGTATAAGAAAACTTCATGAAGAAAATATCATGTTTTCTTGTCTCATTAGGAAAGATAAGGTGTGAGGGAAATCAACTTCATGAGTACCAAATCCTCACCATGATGGCTCCTTATTTGCCATTATACTTAAATATACTTATATTTTTTATAAAATTCATAGGTGTTAAGTTGATTTTCTATTCCTTTATCTTCTTAAGAAAATGTCTTCTGGTATGAGTGAGAGCATGTCCTTTAAAAACTTTATTACATCAACAATACTATCCTGATTGAAAAGAACTTGTAATCTTATCAAAAGATGGGATCAAATTAGTCTGACAAAAATTTCATTTTTGTGAAACTAATGTTGATGGATATTAATTGTGTTTAAGCAATCTCATCTTGATAGGCCTTAATTTCCTGAGTTAGTCCTGTTTTCATTTTTAAATATTGGTACACTTTAAATTTTTCCCAACTTGAAAAGTCCCATGTTTCAAACCTGTAATCACCAAAATAAAATGCCTATGAGGGTCTTTTGCTAGTTCTTTTAAAACTATCAGATGAAAGTTAATTAGACATGCAGATTTCAAAATGTCTAGCTTAAACAAACTGCTGTGTAACTGGTTAGAATAAACAGGACTGCATCATCATGTCATTTGACTCAACCATCTGGCTTGCCCCAAAAGGAGACTCCAAGTGACTGAGATTCTGCTTTTCATGGGTTCTTCTCAGATCTGCTATTATCATACAGTCACAGAGCAATAATATTATCGGTATTCCCAGTACAACTGGGAACTCCTTTCTCTGCTTTTCCATTCTTAGATCTGATAACCATAGATACTTGTCTCTAACATTTTGATTCCACTATCTACTTCCTAAAATCCAAGAGTCGTGTTACAATGATTGTTCCAGCTTTCTCCCCCATGTTTCACTATAGTTTAGAGATGTTTTTCATTTACTTTGACCCATACTGTTCTTTCCCCAAGTCACTGCAACAACATCATTCTGAAATGTGCAATTTGGGCACCTACTAAAATATTATTCAACTATGGACAATTATGTTTTTCATGTTTCTGTTTACATTTTCTGCAGTTGATTGTCTCGATATTACTTTCAGCTTTATTAAATTGTCCTTTTCAACCCCCTGAGACTATGAATTCTTGGCAGAACTCACAATAAAAATGTAATCAAGATAAAATCAGTTTCATCTATTTTTTCAGTTCTGTGATTAACTCTTCACTTCACAAGGTCTTGAATAGAGTTCTGCCCCATTAGAAACAATTGTTGTTTATATAGGAAATTGTTATATATAAAATTTTAACAATTCAAACATTGCCTTAAAATCAGCAACTTTTATCACATCTTTCGAACTGATGCCAACCCATAAAATTATTTGTTCTTGCTACATATTATAGCTTAATGGTTGCACAGCCAATTTTCTTATTCCCTAGTGTGTTTGTGCATTTCTAGCAGACCAAAGCCAGCAAATTCTCTTGTGCTTTGATCCTACAGAATCCTTCTTGTATTTTATCCATGGCCTGCAATTTGAGCAAGGCCATTTTAAAACAGAATCTCTCTCACACTGCTGCATTTTTCATTCCATTTTCTCAACATTTTTACAGCCAATAATTTTAACATTATCAACATGGGAATCTTCCTGTTTGTTTTCAGAAAATCTAGCTTTATGCTAATTATTGAGAGATTTCCATTGTGTATATAGCACATAATAAATGAAATGCTGTATATATTAGAATCAAATTAGTTAAAATCAAATAATTTTATGTTATTAAATATTTTAAAATTTACTGTTATGCTTATATTTGCCATAGATAACGTCAAGTAACTTAAATGAAGCTAGTGTGAAATGCCAGGAAAAGCAGATATTCCCTAGTTTTTCCTCTACATTTCATTTTCTTACAATCCTTCTACAGGTTATAATGAGTATGAAGTATGACTGAGTGTAGACAAATGTGTTAAGGCCTTCTATTAGCAAATTTCTTGGTACAGCTGTCATTATTTTTTTAAGTTGCTATGGAGACTTACAAGTTTGAGGCATCACTGTTTCGATGATTTTCCATAGCAATACTGCTTTGGCTCCAGTACATACCCCAAAACAACCATGAATGTCCTCCAAGATAATTTATGTCCTGTTGAACATATTAAAATATCTACACAATTGCCTAGAATATGGCAGTAGCAATAGGATATGAAAAAAGATTGACCTACTTAGTATATCTATTGTTAGGTAGAATGAATTTCATAATTGAGAATTCAGTAAAATAAACGTTAAAAATACATAGCTGGGAGAAAATAGGAAAGGCAGGGTATTTTGTCAAAATAATATTTTTAATTTTTCCCTGTATTTTAGACTTTAAACCTTAAGGCCAAATCACCCCTGGTATGCTCCTGAGAAGAAGTTATTAAACTTTTTCAGGTATATTTTTTCCTATTTATGCTTAAACAGAAATATCTATTTTCCTTTTCCTTTTTAGGTAATTGCTGCTTTACAAAATTGTGGAAATAATGAATTTTAAGAATTGTGTAGCTCAATGGCAATAGTGTCAAATGACAAAAATCCTAAACTACCTTTATATGGACAAAGCATGTAGCTATTATACAGATGAATGAAGACCTCTCACTGCAGACATGTAAAGTACTCAGAACCTGATATGTCTTTCACCAGCTGTGCAGAGATACAAGCAGCCAGGAGTAATTAGTTTTACACCAGTGGAAGTCACAGGAAATACAGGAAGTCACTCCAGCCTGGAAGTGAGGAAGACCTTACCTCTTGGAAGTGCTGGGCAGGGCCAAAATACACTGGAAAGTTTACTTCCCAACATTTATTTTCACTGATGCTTCTCAGCCTTTTGTTGCAGCCTCCATCCCTTTGCATGATGAACCCAATACAGCCTTCTAGAGACAAAAAAGGAGAGTAGTTCAAGTGAGAACCAAAAGCAAAGTCAGTCAAAGGAAGTTTTGCCAGTGCAGTGATACTTCAGACCACTGCTGAGTAATTCAAATAACTGATTCATTAAACAAAATGACACAGAAAAGTTAGTTCTGTTGAGAAAGAGATCAAGGCTCTCCCTCAACCATCCAGCCACATGATTTCCACACTCTCAGTGAGCAGCTGCAGAGGAGGTGCCCTCACACAGACACGCAGCCCTTGAGTGGGGTTCTAAAGGAGCAAGAGCAGCCCTGTTCTCTCTTATTTCTCATCGTCACCAACATCCATGCACCTAGCCTGCCTTCCTGCAGCTCTCACATAACTCAAGGCTACAGCTTTATTTTCTTTTTTGTAGCTTTTCTTTTTTAATCAGTTTACTGAAGTCTATTAATAAAAAAAAAAGTAATAATAGCAGTAAAGAAAAAGTAATATTAACAATAAAAATCCCTGCTACATTTCTCTTAATAATTTTATTTCACTGTTTGGAAGGAGCACCAGGAGACACCTTCAGTTTTTGAAATGTGTTCTGTTTTTTTACTTTCCTAGCATTTCACATTGAGAGTTAATTTTGTTTGCAGCTATTTTTCTTGCATTGCTAATATATTTTCTATTCACATACCCCTTTGTAGGCAGATGCAGACTGCAGGATGCTCATCTAAGAACTTCTTTGCAGTAAAATTGCTGCATGGTGTGTATAACTTTGAGTTTTCACATCATATCTTTTTGTTGGGAAAAAAAAGCATTTTTCTTCAAACAGCTTGGACTCTCTGCATGCTAGAGATACTGGCTTATGACAAGCCTGCACTGGGCTGCAAGGCTCTGCGTGGGTTTTGAACTAGTGACTAACCAACTGAGTGACCAACCTGGTTCTGTGGACACAGATGTGTAAGTTAATTAAATTCTATGACAAGGAAGCAGAGCAGCACTTTCATGTATAACCATGTGGAAAAGTCTTATCAGTGGCTTTATTTTTTCTGGAAAGAATCTTACATGGAATACCTGTATTGCAGTGCGAGACAGCAAAGATACAAGATTTCAACACCTGGTGCAAATGGGCACCATAGAGAGTATGTACAGGACGAGTACACATTGTCATTTCCTTAGTACAGAGTGTGACAACGTAGAGCAGAACATGCAGCAAGTAAGTCAGTGTGCTTTGATACCATAGATCTGGCACTTTTTGAAGTGGAGAATGAAAACAACCTGTGTTTTATAGGTAAGGGTGGGCTTGTTCCCCCAGTCATCTTAGTTGCTTTTACATGGACATCAAAATTACCAAACTGTGTCAGGCCACATATTAATCTATTCTAGTAGCCTAAAATGGTCCCTTGAAATTCATCAAATCACCCTCTAAAGCTGTGATAATGTGGCAAAATTTAGCCAGCATAAGTAATATTTTATTTTGAATAGAAATAGTCTGTGATACATGACAATAATTGCACAGTTTAAGTCTGAAGTATCTATCCATTCAAACACTATTAAGAAGTGAAGAGTGGGCTTTTGCTATTTTTTCAGTCTCTCAAAAGAAAAGAAAAATCAACATAGTTATAATATGTAAAATGGTAATTATAAGAATTGAAAATAATTCTAGATTTTTGATGAATTTGTTCCTAGCCCAGGATTATAAAAGCCTTGTACTTAAAAAGTGGATTGCATTTGCAGCTGAGAAAAAGTGTTCTTGTCACCGTGAAAATCTCTTAGGAGAAATATCCCAGAAATGGACATATGAACACTTATTTCTGTCCAGCAGCTAAGACTTGTACTTTGCAAGGAAATTTTTAATAACTCATGTTACTCTAAATTCATATAAGCAAGGCAGAGGCAGCTGTGAAAAACACTCTCATACAGAACTGATCTGAGGCCATGAACTGTCATAGACGAATTGCACCCATGATTGATCCCTATAGGCACAGATGGACTCTCCCCTCCCAGACACTGATATGTGTCCCCAAAAGAAACAGCCATAAATTGAATGAGATTAATCAGCCTGTGTCACAGAAAGCTCAATGAGACTTCCACGCTCAAGGAAATGTGCCTTTAATTCTTCTGAGCCAAGTATGATTAAGAAGCATGAAGAAATGGCTAAAACTCTGGGGTAATGGTATTTGAGTGAAGGTATTGCTCTGCTTTCACACCCTGACTTTTGACTATTTAACTGTGTAATTTTCTGTTTGCATAGTACATTGCAGGAGAGCATCTACTGACACTGACTATCAGCAAGGAATATAGCTAGGACCAGCGAACAAAAAAATTGTAACTAGCTGCTATGGTACATTTTGAGTCCATCTACTGAATATGTGGGACCAGATTTCATTACAGTTATCTCAGGAGACACCCAGGAGCCCCCAGGCTTGGAAATGATGGCTGAGCTCTGCCCAGGATGAGGGGGTACCTGTGGGCATTCTGCCTTCTCACAGCTGACCTCCACCGGGAGCAAAGCCCACTGCTCAGTGACAGCAAAAATGAGACATTAATCACAGCAAATTGTGCACACCCTCAATCCTACCCTTTCTTAAAGAGAAACAAAAAAAAAAAATTAACATAAAAAAAAACCCATGAAAAAAAAAATTAACATGAAATTCCTAAAACTTTACTGAGATGAACAGAATAGTTCCAAGCTCAATAAAATTGTTCAGAAAGTGGCTTGGGATTTTTTGCCATCTGACATCTTCATATTAAAAGAATGACATCTTCATTTATGTCAATCTTTTGTTCCATTTTGATTTTTCATACAAAAAATCACTTACAGAAAAATCAGTATAAATTGGGGGGAAAAAACCCACCTAGACTTCTTTCTCAAAACAGGTTTGATATTATTTTTAACTAAGCCAGGATAATCTTTTACAATATCTGTCAAGAGAAACTGTAACCAAATTCTCCTCTATTTCAGAATCTGTACAGAAGTACTAAATTCATTCTGTAATGGCTAGACTTCTAACCATTAGATTCTAGATTCCAGATTCTAGATTCTCTTCACAGAAGAGAAAAAAGGCAAAAAAGGCAAAAAAGATGTTGAAATACAGACTTCTTTAAACTGAAATGTGTTGGAAAATGCAGATAGGCATCTAATGGCATGCCCAATGACATCCAGGTACATAATTCTAAGGACAGGGATAAGATCCTTTCACTCTGTATTTTAGGTCCAGGTAGCACTTCCTACTGGACCTGACACTGGGGATCCTGAATTGTGTGAGTATTTCAGCTCCCTGTGGTGATGCCATGCACTTTGCAGCATTTATTACTGAGGAGCAAATGGGGAGCCAGAGGCTGCATCTGTTGCGGAACGAGGGGTGAAACCAATCCATCCATTTGTCCCTTGAACCAAGAAGCCACAGCACCTCAGGACAGGCTCTGTCAAACATAGCCGTGAAGCAATTCCTGAAGCTGCAACTCAGTGTTAGCTCTTTTTCTCAAGTAGATGATCCTTAGACTATAAAAACCTATGGTTTCTGCCAGCTAACATAGGAAATCCTTTCCTTTAAGTCAGTGGTGTCTGTGCAGTGAAATTGAAAGTCTGGATCCAAACAGAGCTGATGACTCACTTGGGAAGCTGCTACAGCCACACATAGCAGCACTCATAATACCAGCCACCTTCTTTCTTTTTTGGAAAAAAAAATCCCAACATTTTACATGCAAAAAAGAAAGCAGATTCTCCTTAATTTATGTTACTGAGTTGTATATTCACTGTTGTACTTTTCCTGCATAGTGAACTTTATTACTTTAAACTCTGAAGGTGAAAGAGTAAGAAGTCATCCCCACACTTGTGCTATGAATACATATTAGATTAAGTGCAAATATAATTCTTACGGTGGATGTGCATTTGGTTTGTATTAATTATACCTCTCTACATCTGCCACCCTGTTAGCTCCCAATATAGCCACACAGCTCCAGCAGCTATACACAACCAAAAGGAGAAAATAAATCATTGCTCTAATGAGAGTTCAAAACTCCATTAAAGAATTTGCTGGAATAAATATGAAAATAATTCAATCTGGAGCAACTCTGGAATAAAAAAGAATATTTCAGTATGTATTGAAACATGACCTAAAAGTGCCAGTAAAGCACTCCTTTTTTATATTATTTGAACTATGAGAAGTCTCTGTACTCTCTAAAGTAAAAATAAGTTTTCACTCCTGGTAAAATCACAGCATCTGGATTTTTCATTGTGCTATATTTTATGTTACTGAACCTCAGATTTTTAAATTGTCAGTTTCATTTATAAAACATCAGAATCTACTAAAATAATGTTCAAAATATCAACATTTTTCCTTTAAGTGTGTGACCTCAAGAGCACTAATTAATCAATGTCAATCTCTCTGACCAAGATCTTATCACTTGAGTGTGTGTGTTCTAAGATATTAGTACAGGCTGTTTCTAATCAGCTTGGCTTGAGGAGAATATAGAGATGGAGGAAAAGGGAGGGATTTTCTGTGTAAAAAGACAAAACCTGATAATATGCATCATAAAACCACATTTTTGCTGTATTTGTGAGCTATTGGCTTGTTCTGAGATTCTGAGTTTTCACTAACTGACTGCAAATAAGCACACAACTGCAGAAGCGCCAGTTTTCCAATTGCTATTGCAAGGAAGTCGATTGTCCTACATATGTAGGGCAGCCCTGGATGGGAGTGAGATATTTGCATCTCCACTTGTGACTTTCTGAACATTGCATGATGAATGACGGTTTGGGGAATCACTCACAGCTGTTTGCTTGCTGGCTTTTGAAAAGAGAAGGCGTTTGACACTGTTATGTTATCTCTGCAGCATAGCTGCAAAGCAATTCCAAGAAGCAAGATAAATTAACTTTTAAGAGATAGTACATTCTTCTGTGTGACACACAGAAGACAAGTCACATTTCAGCTTTAAATTCGCTTATGAAACCCATCTTTTAGTTATAATAAGTAAGATTTTTTTAACTGCAGAAACACAGCAAATTAGGAGGAGGCTACAATCACTTCTTAAGGGT